CTCCCAGTGCTCACTCACCACCAAGAGGCATTCCACCATCCCACTCCCACTTGCTGCTTGGCTCGAAGTGCGGTGAAATCAGTCCTCCCTACCCAGACAGAGCACAGGACAATAGCTGAAGTACAGCCTTCTTCTCTGTAAATGTCAGCACTGGAATTTCAAACCTCTGAGAGCTTAGAAAAGACATTTGGCAAATGTTTATTTTCTTTGAATCCACATTCTCTCCCTGCTCTGCCTCAGAGATGTGTCTCTGCTGTTCAGATTCCAGAGATGCATCTTTGCTCATTACACAGTGCAAACCTTACTGTGGGCATTATTGGTGAAGTCACATTGCTAGTCAAGCACAAGTTAAAATACCCCTTTTTTTCCCCCCCAGTATACACACAGAAAACCATTAAGTGCTTCAACACATTTTTGCATTTAAAGCCAACAAAGCCTCTGTCAGGAGAAGGGGGTCCTGCTGAAATCGGCACTGGGACTTGCTGTTGGGATTGGAACTGGTAGATGTGCAACGTAAGAAATAGCAAAAGGAAATATTTAGAATCAAGAGATGCCAAAACTGCAATCAGCAAATGAAAGGCTAAAACTGATGAGTAGATCTGGATGCTTTCTCTATTATTTATTTTTATTATTTAAGCTGTGCTATGCAACCCCTTTGTTACAAGAAATGCTCGGTAACCACTCACTGCAGTGTGTGGTGCAGCTTTCCACCACATCAGCTTGGAAAACCCAGGGTTTTACATCGAATGGGATTGCTGTGACATCAGTTACATGCCAGAGAATAGAATTATGGTGTTTGTGGAAATGGAAATATTGCCACCAAGAATGTTTGCCTCAAAACTGACGAGCACTAAAAGCGCCCAAAGGAAAGACAGCGACGAACGTGAGAACAAAGTGACTGTACAGAGCTGCAAGAGTTTGTGGATTTCCCCAAATGACCAAACCCGCTACTGACAGCAAGGTAATGCTGCAAGGGCAGGGCCTGCAGAGCCAGAGTGACAGCAGGGTCAAGGTGTGTGTGGGCAGTGCTGCAGGTGGCTGCCAGGGAGAGCTCATTGCCAAACTCACACACACGCATCAGCAAAAGCCACTGAAAGCAATGTGTCACTTGCTGCCAGGAAAGCAGGAAGACAACAGGTGAAAGCCTGAGAAGCAGAACAGGCAGGACACATCTAGCTCTGAAGTACCCCAGGCAGTCGGATGTGTTGACGGCATGAAATGTTTCTATTTAGGAACAGAAAACACAAAAGAACTGCTTCATAAATTATTCTGTTTTGGAGGAAGAGCGAACAGACTTGAAGGACAGGTGATGTCTCTGAAATATGTAAATGGCACTGAGCTGGTCCAAGCAATTACCTTTTCATTGCCTGGAACTTCAGACTAAAAGGAATGACTCACAAGAAAGAACAAGAAACAAAAGATGTGCTAAAAGGTAGAAGATGACGAAGGTAGATGGCATTGAGAGGAGAATAGAGACGAGCATGGAAGAGTTGAGTCCTGGCCTCTGAATAGCTGCTCTTGGGAAAAAGAGCAAAGCAACCTACAGCATGGCACATCAGAAGACCATGCCAACGTGGGGGAGCTAGCTGCAAAAGCATCCAGAAAGGCAACTGTGATGACTAGTTCTAGACTTGTGAGTTCAAGAGAAATATAGCAGCTCTGTGTAAGTAAAGATCACGGATTTCACCTACTTTACTGTATTTGCTATTTTAAAGCTTTTCTAGCAAAGAGAATTGCTGAAAATAATGCAGTCTGATTATTTATTGCTGTTAAAGAAAACTCCAGGCATGAATGTATCAGACAGCCTGATAGTGGGAAGGGTGAAGGCAAAACTAAAATGCACTGGAAACATCCACGGAGATGAGCCAACAGCTGTGCAACTGATGTGAAAAGCAGCATCTGGGCCTCACAGAGCAAGATATAGCTGTGGCTGCCATATCTCCACATGCAGTCCTCTCCTAATCATCTGCAGGTACTCCAAGCTCTGGGTAGGAAGAGAAAGGAGAAAGTCGGATTTCGGTTATTGGTGGTATTTTCAGCGCTCTGCACACAAATTCGGGATGCTCTTTCTGCATCAGCATGCATTCACTTCATTTTTTTCCATCAAAACCAAAGAAAGATTACTAAATTATAGCAATTACAGTCTGATGCTGAAAATGTACTAATACAGAACCTGCAAGGTCAATGTGAAAGAATGAATCAAGGAAAGGATCAAGAAAAGTGAACAGAGACGTGGATCTATAGAGGCTGCATAAGAAATACTGTGTACATTTAGTGCCACTCTTTTCATTAAGAAAAATACTGACAGCCCAAAGGCTGCAGAACAGCAATAAATATAAATCTGTTCGGGAGGGGGGGGGGGTGTGGAAATTAAGAAAAGTTTCCAAGTTTTAAATTTTGTGTACTTAGTGCTAAAAGATTAAGACATTATATACCCTTTGGGAATATAGGAAATGGGGGAGAGAGGGGACTGAAATAACACAAGAAATTTGTAAACCATATAATGAGATATGGAGCATCCCTGTACTCTGATTACTATTTATGATCCTCTAACAGAAATGCTAAGTCACAGCCTGAAGCAGTAATTGAGCACCTGGTGGGAAGGCAGGGCCAACCTGGGGAGCTCAGGTGTATGCAATGAACCTGAGTGACCAGAAGGGGTGGAGCCAGGATCCATTCCTTTCCAGTCCTCATTTAAGGGTTGGCAGTGGAGGTGAGGGCACCTCTTGTTGGAGATCTATGCATGTGTGAGCTCTTCTGAAGGTAAGCAGCTTTCTTCCTTCACTTTTGGGTCTGTTGTGTTTGGGTTCATTCACTTTTGCTGCAGCCAAAGACTTTTCCACCCTACTGTTATTGTGGTACTTTCCACCACATTACAGTTCCGTGGTAATTTGGAAACTCAACTTTTTGCATTTGTACCAAGCTCTATATACTGTTTTATTCAAGTAGTGGGAGCATTTTATTTGTAATCTACTGAGCACAAGAAAAACTGAAGAGAGCCCAGCAGGTGAGCATGTACAGGAGACAATGATAGCGATGAAGAACTTTGTGATGTTCTCACAGATCTTTCTTATAAATCTAATTTGAAGTTGGAAGAGTAAAACAGCTATTATCCTACCACCATGCCCTGATGTGTACAACTCCATCATTTGGAAGAACAGAGCTCCCTCTTGTGGATCCTGAATGTGGATGTGGCAGGAAAAAACAGTGGGAGATCAAAGGACGAGAAGACTCCTCATGGGATTTTAGCTGTACAAAAATGGAATTCAAATGCAAATACAGTAGGGAGGAAAGGTGAATTATCTTAAAGAAAGTACTGTTGCCTGTACTTGAATGCTGACTCTGAAATTGCATTCTCTGATCTTCTAACTTCCTCTGTTAGCTCTTACTGCAGCTGAGCAGACTACTTCCATGGAAAGCTCTCAGACCTCTTAACAGGTTTCTAGCTCAGTCACAGGTGAGGGGTAAGAAAAACAGAATAAAGACTACAGTGGTGAAGGCACAGTGGCATGCACTGGAGCTGTATGAATAAGAAAACCACTGGTGTCAGGAAGCCAAGAAATACACACCTGATTATGAGAGCGAGAGGTTTATGTACTGAAATGCTGCAACAGCAAGAATTTGAAGAGAGAAAAAAATGCTTCTTAAAACTATCAGGAAGCCTTAGTCCTGCCATTAGCAGAGAAGCTTCTGCTCAAGCCCTAGCACTGCTCTTTTCTCCTGCAAACTTCCTGCATCAACTATTTAAAACCACAGGAGGATGGAGCCACGCACCAGTGAGCAAATTCCTGTGCAATAGCATTACTCTCCACTGCATGGATTCTGCTGAGTCCTGTGCATAGGGGTATGTGACAGAAGAGCTCTCACCTCCATTCATTCCCCTCTTGAAGGGAGGAGCATCACTGCAGACAGCCCCTTGTTTACTGGATGAGTTCTTAAAAAGGATTTGAAGACCACCAGGTTATTCCAGTTCTCCTAGCAGAGAGCTTTGTAACCCAAAGGGATACCTATGAAAAAGAGTAGCCCTCTGAAGCAAGGAGGGGAAGCATACCCAAAGCAGAAACTGTCACAGCACTCTTAATGAACCCCCAGTTCTGCCTGGTTGTCTCTAAATTACCTCTATGCTGCAAAAGCAGGATCAAACCCATGGAACAAGAACTGGCAAAGAAGCAGCAATCACTCTTATGAGTACAGAACAGCACCAGAATATAAGAGAGAATCAAGACCTTGATTCATAGGCTGGTGCTCACACAAGATCCTGCTTCCAGAGTGCAGGACAAAAAGAGAATCAATTTCCTACTGTGAAAAGAAATTACCATGCTGTCAGCATTTTGCTATTAGTGAAACATCTTCCTTCTATCTCCAGTTAAAAGCAATATTTTTCTAAAGAGCAATCCTCTTAAAACAAAAAAAAAAATTGTATGGAAATCAGTCTATAAACAGGGAGATATCCTTAAATGCTCAATCAAGTAATAAACCTGGCAGATGAAAGGCAGACTAATTAAAATAACAGTACAATCTCCCTTTAACAAACGCATACAGGACTCAAAAATATGCTTGTTGGAGTACCTAATCATAATCAGATTCGGTAATTTGCTGTATCAAAACAAAAAGGAAACATTTTCAGAATTGATCATTCAGTTCATGTCACTTTTATGGAGATTACTTTCTATTGATCAACATTTAAATAGTAGTTGAAAAGGGTAAGAAGTATCTTTACATGCTAAATACAGCATGAACCGATAAAAGCAGAAGAAATTAGATCACTATAGCCAAATCAACCCTGCACATGTGCTCACTGTAATGAAGATAATTACAAATGAAAAAGATGGTTCTTCATGCTTCGGCCTTAACAAAAGGGGGGTTTTAAAATGAAGTTAGAGCTTAATCTGCTCAGAATGAAGTTTCCTATGCAGCAATTAAGTTCTGCATGAAGCTGAACCACCGTTGGCTTCTGAAGGGCATAAATGCTGGTTTGTTTTCTGAACAGCACTTCCTACCTGTGGATTCCAGTTGGGGTCCAGTTTTTTCACTGTAGCAATGTACTCCTGCATAGCCTGATGAGGACTGGTGTCTCCCAGGGCTTTCCAAGCTTCCCTAGGGCAGAGAGCAATGTATCAGTGAGCCTCCCTGAGACAGCACAGCGTGTTCTTATGGTGTCATCAGTGAACAAACCAAGCAGATCCATCTACATGTTTTCAAGGGTTGTAAAGCCATCTCCCATTCAGTTTGAAGTGGTCAACTTCTCAGTGAAGCCATGAACAGCTAGTGCAGGTGCAGCACTTTGCTGGGAAAGCATCTTTCAGGGGGTCTAGATCTAGGTTGGAACATGTTTTGTGTTCTAACATAGATTCAGCTATCTTGGCTGTTTCTACAATGTTCACCCTGGAGAAAAGGCTGCAGGGTGACCTCACTGCAGCCTTTCAGTACTTAAAGGGAGCCTACAAACAGGAGGGGAGTCAACATGTTGAAAGGGTAGAGGACAAGGGGAAATGGTTTGAAGTTGAGGGAGAGGAGATTTAGGTTGGATGTCAGGGGGAAGTTGTTTGCTGTGAGAGTGGTGAGGTGCTGGAACAGCTGCCCAGAGAGGCTGTGGATGCCCCGTCCCTGGAGGTATTCAAGGCCAGGTTAGATGGGACCCTGGGCAGCCTGGTCTAGTATGAAATGTGGAGGTTGGTGGCCCTGCATGTGGCAGGGGATTTGTGATCCTTGAGGTCCTTTCCAACCCTGGTCATTCTGTGATTCTCATGGTATGCAGGCCAATTCTGGATGTAGAAAGTAAAGACAGGCTGGGTTTTCACGACCACATGAGGCAGAGTTAGCTGTAAGCTGTTCAGGTTGCAAATTCTGACTTGACCATGTCTGTTGCATTGCAGGCCTGCAATACCAGTAAGACCAGTATCCCTCTTCTTGTTCAGGAAAAGCTATGTTTTCGTGAAGACACTCCTATATTAAGCAAAAGCCATTCAGTGGCAGGCTCTTAGATTTGACATCCTCAAAGTGAGGTCTGTAACACAACACAGAGCCTTAACAAAAGGGGAGTTTTAAAATGAAGTTAGAGCTTAATCTGCTCAGAATGAAGTTTCCTACGCAGCAATTAATTTCTGCATGAAGCTGAACCACCGTTGGCTTCTGAAGGGAAGAGCAGAACCAGAAGTCTCTAGGAATTACGATGATTTCCTCTTACCATTTCTGCTTCCCCTCAAAATCAAAGAAGCTTGGCTTTGGAGTGTTACAGGTCCCAAATTTCACCTAAAAAATAAAAATTCTTTATGTTAGAACAAATCAAATGGAACTCCTGAATGGTCTGAGAGGCATCCATCCAGCTGCATGGGAAGCACCAACTGCCAGTGAGCTGAGGCCCGAGCAGAAGTGCCTGAGATGAAGCAGTGTGATGGAAGGAAGCCATCAGTGGCAGTACCAAGGCAGGGTTAGCAGATAGGCATTGCTGCAGGACACAGTGTGATCTTGTACACAGCTTTTGCGGCTCAACTCTTGTTTAAAAACACCAGAACAGACATGGCACCCAAACTAATGCAGATGGACAAGAAATCTTTTATTCAGTGTGAAATGGTCTTGTTGCCAGCAGGACTTCTGTGGCCAGCTTTCCATAGAAAGGCATCCCAACATGACAAGCACAAAGCTATTTTTGTCAGCATGGGGTGCAGCTCAATATCTTTGAGGTCCCTTCCAAGCAATGCCATTCTGTGATGCTCTGGTCTGGAAGAGGGCAGGGACTGCTGGCAGAGCAATCTGTGAGCCAAGCAAAACCCAACTGCCTTCACCCTTCTCATTTAGAAATGAAATATGCCCCAGTGCTCAGGCAGGTGAAGTGCTTAAATCAACCTCACCTTAGCAGGGTGGGGATTTTCTGCTGAGGAGAGAATCATTAATCAGGCTTTAAAGAGAGCGTGCCTACACTGAGAGATATTTATTAGTTACACTATGTTTTCATTTAAAGTGTGAGAGACTGTGACTGAAATTAATTTTCCGTGCATCTGACTGCCTGTGAGCGAGCAGTCCATCCAGATTAGGATCCCAGCTGGCCTGTAAAACAGTGCACTGCATTCCATGGAGGAAGAAGGGAAAGGACAAGCAGCAGTTAAGCCCTGTAAATCAATCACCATTCATTTGTACTGTCAATGTTTTCTCCTGTGCTCAGATACGGTCTGGACCATTTGTTTTATACAACAAAACACAGAAATAAAATGCAAGCTCATCATGTGAGCAGAAAGTGCCTGCCTGGCAGTTCTTTGATTTGGTGTGCAAGCAGGCCAAGTCAGACAAAAAAAAAATCCCATCTTTTTTAATTGTTTGCTGCCATCATCAAAACAAGAGGGCAGTTTCTTCTCTCTAGATTTGGCATTCAAAGGCTATTCCAGCCCTGGAAAGATTGTTAGTAGCATCAATAGTAATACAAATCAGGGAACAGTAGTTAAATTTCATCCATCAAAGGAGTAAAAAATAAATAAATAAATAAATAAAGTGCTCCTGTGCCCTGCTTGCTATTTTGAGATATATTAAAAAGGGTTGCAGTGGTTTTGTTGGAGAGAAGAAAATAACACTCTTGGCTTCCCTCGCTTTGCTGCAGGACTCCATAATGCGTCAGAAACCAAATGGGAATTCAGCATTGGAGGAGCCTGGATGCTGAGGATGGTGATTTTTACCTAAACATCAACATAAAAACTGGAAAAAAAAAAAGCGTGGTGTAGGACTCGGTCCTGTTGCTTTCAGAGGAAAGCCTCAAAAGCTGTTTTTTTCTCCCCAGCTAGCAGAAAGATAAGAACCTGTGTTAGTATTTGAGGGCAGAGTTCCTTGTTCTGGATCCAGAAAATAATTACTGATGGTCTCCAGGTGCTGACTGGTCACTTGGTGCTTAGCTCTCCTCGTTTACAGTTCATCAGCTGCATGAAAAGCAGTGTGCAGCCAGAATGTATTAAGTGCTTTCCTAGCATTGCTTCTCTGTGCAGCTGACGGCAGGCTCTGCTCCTAAACCACTGAGAAGCAGCTCTGAATGGGAACTGCCTGCATTTGTGGCCAGCGTGGCAATTCAGAAGCTCTGGGAGAAGCCTTCACCTGATGGCTGGAGGTGACAGCACTCAGAAGAGTGCCTGCATAGACAGATGCTCAGAGCTGTGCTCTGTTAAACCGGTTGTCAATGGGCCATAAGGGAATCTAAGGAAATATCACACAAGGATGCTAACCTGCGGACTGAGGGCAGCAGGTCCCTGCTTTGCTCACAGTCACGCTGCTAACTCTGGTTCAGTTCCATCCTCACCTTGCCACTACAGACTCAAGGCATGGATTGCACAAGTGATTTGCCCAGAGCCTCGTGGAAAGCAAGAGGAGAAGCAGCACTCCAGCCCAGAGCCCTGCCATCCACTCTGATCTTCCTCCTGCACTGAGGCAGAGCCATAAACTCAGCACCATCAGCTGAAAAGCTCACTGGAGATGACAACTAAGCAATTCCCTCATTTTCGAGTCTCTGACACATAAACAAAATCAGAGAGAAAAGTAATAAAATCCTGAAATGGCCTCCAATAAAAGGTAATAAAATTCCAGGAAAACAGTTATATACCCAAACAGTTTGAAATAAATAATATACAGTATCTTAAGAGAGAGCTCAGCTGTTACTGTCACCCCTTTTATGATGGTGCTGTGTCTTAAATCAAAGCCCTCAGTGACACAAAATACTAAACTGAGGAAAGACAAGGATGCCAAATCAAGGGCAGCGGACAGATCTGAGTCAGCACCTTTTGTGTGCTAGCAATACTACTGTCCACTGGAGTAATATATTAGCAGCCCATTATGCATACTGATACGGCTGCTATAATTAAATAGAGAAAACTTGCACTAAGCACCATCGTTTTGATTTAAAGCACAAAATGCTGCAGAACTCCAAGCAAGCAGAGCCTATCCCTGAGGTAACTGTGCTAGCAAACTCCTCCTCTTCCCTGCCAGCACTGCCTGCTCCAGCACTGTGTTACAGCCTTCCTGGACAGCCAAAGGCATGGAGACCCAAAGCAGGGGGCACACAGACACTGTTTGTGCAGTCTGGGACAAGAGGAGATGGAAGATCTCTGGTTCCTCACCTGGAGGGGACTGGAGACCTGTGCTGACTGCAGTAGTTGCTGCCTTTTCTTAACTGGTATTACAACTTGTGAAACAGCTTCTGATTTCAGTAACTATAGCTCTTATAAAGCACTAGGAAACCCCTCTGGAGTCTGCTGACAGCCACGGGCTGAGGGCTAAGTAATGCCTCCCATCTGCCATAGAGGACAGCTCCGAAGCACTTGTAGGCGGTGAGAAATAAGAGGTTATTTGAAACAAATCTGAGAATCCAGGTAAGCTGTAGCAGAGACAACCCTATTTCTTTTCATCTCCTTCTATGCAAGGCCTTAGTTCCTAGAAGTTCTCCTGGCACTTTCCCCACCCTTTCCTTTCTCTTACAAAGAATAAAGAGCCAGAGACCTGCTGAAGCACCAGAAGATCTGAAGACAAAGCTCCCACGTGATCAGCCTGGTCTGAGACAATTAATGGCCCACAAACTACAGCTAAGGAGCCACCAGCTCAGGGGATAATTCAATACTGCATCAAAAAGATGGAAATGCTTTTGAGTAGCAGCAGGCCAGGCAAGGGTATTCCAGATGGAAGAAAAATGTAACTTGGATTGTCTGCAGAATCATAGAATGGTTTGGGTTGGAAGAAACCTCAAAGCTCATCAAACCCCAAACCCTGCCGTGGGCAGGGCTGCCAGCCACTGGATCAAGCTGCCCAGAGCCCCATCCAATAGCCTCGGGCACCTCCTGCTGAGCAAAACAGACAGAGTCCAGTTCCACAGTCGCTTTGCAAACTGAGTCAATGCAAACTGAGGAGCCGGCAGTGCCACCCAGAGCAGTGTGTGCCCCGTCCCTCAGGTGCCCCATGCCGTGGATGGGCCCTGGGCAGCCCGAACTGCTGGGGGGCAGCCAACCCACGGCAGGAACCAGGTGGGGGAGCTTTGGGGTCCCTGCGGGCTGGGAATGCTCCACAAGTGACCCAAGCACGTGGCAGAAACAAACCGGCTCAGCCTCCCGGCCCTTCCCCCTTTTCCTCCCATCCCCTCCCCCCCGTAGGCACCAGGCCTCTCCCTCGGCCCAGTCGCAAGGCCCCGCGCCTCACCTGCTTGTAGCGAGCGTACAGGTACAGCAGCTGTTCCTTGCTGGCGCTGGGCAGCAGGGCGGGCAGCCGTTCGGCCGCCTGCTCGAACAAGGTGGACAGCTGCCGATCGGACGGATCCGGCCCCGCCGAGCCCGAGCTCCCCTCGCCGCCGCTCCCGGCCGCCAGCGGGGGCGACGCCATGGCGCCGGTCCGCGCGCACAGCCGTCCCCCTGCGCGCCTCGGTACGGTTTCGCGCCGCCCGGCGGGAAACGCGCGCTGCGCCCGAGAGTTCCGGGGTACGCGCGGTCCTACTCTCATCCGGTAGGGAATGGCCGCTGGGAGGCAGTGGCGGGCCGGCTGTGGGCCCAGGCTGCGCAGCCTCCTAGGGGTTGCTCCCTCCCTTCCTATCGCTGTTACCTGGGAGCAGAGGCTGACCCGTCTCAGCACAACCTCCTTTTAGGAGCTGTAGAGCAGCGAGGTCTCCCCTGAGCTCCTCCACACTGCCCCATACCATCCCCTCAGCCGCTCCCCATCACACCGTGCCCCACACCCCGCACGGCTCCATGCCCTTCTTCAAACACACTCCAGAAGCTCGGTATCTGGTAGTTGATGTCAGTGTTCTCGTACTGTGCAACCCAAATGGGGATCTGAAGGAGAGCGAGCACATCCCTCATTTAGTTGTTTTTTTTTTTCAAGATATCAACAGAAGATCAAGAGAGCTCACAGCAAGAGCCAGCAGGCCTGGAGCCAGCCCCAAGCCCCTCTGCTGTGTGCTGACCCCAGCCACGAGGGGGATAGATAAGAGCTCAGCAGCTGCTGCTCAGGGTTTTCCCTATTAAAGGTTTTTTTCTTGCACTTTTCCTCTGAAGGCTCTTCCCCAGCAATCCCCCAGCATAATTTATATATATTTTTTAAAGAAAAACGTGCTATTTATAAATGATTCTATACACTCCCAAGAAAGCAAGTGCCAGACTGTGCTGGCAGGAAGCCTACTGCAGACTTCTTGCTGCTCCAGTTAAGGAAGCAGATAATGCTCATTCTCGTGCCTTCTCCCAGCACCCAGCTGCAATAACAGCGAGGTGTTCCAAGCACACTGCTGGGCACTATGTCAGGAGACTCTGTGGGGCAAATGGTTTGAGTGCACGGACCTAATGCTTGCAGTCCTGCAGCCCTTTTGTCCTGCACGTTGCAGTTGGGGTGGACTGACACATCATGGGCTGGGCTGGGCTCACCGAATGTAATGTGCTAAGGACACGGCTGGGATCAGGAAACACACCAGGAGGGAGGAACAAGACACCAGGACGTGAGGTTTTCAGTAAAATGCAGGTTATTAGAGAAGCAAGGCAGGTCATTTCTGGGCTCCTAACGACCTCATTGCTCTGCCGAGCCCAGCAGCGATAACGCAGCACCGTGCGCCGATGCTCACCACGCCCGAAGAGCTGCGGGACACCCATTGCCCCATTGGGGCCACGCCCCTATCTTTAAGCCACGCCCGCCTGAAACCACGCCCTGTCTTTAGGCCACGCCCCCATTCCCGAGGCCACGCCCCCCGGCGGCGGTGGGCGGTGGCGAATGTTGCCGTGGCGACGCGGCGCTGCCGGCGGCCGGTTGGCTGGCGGGCGGCTGACGGCGGGAGGCGGCGGCGGGCCGGGGAAGATGGCGGCGGCCGAAGAGGCGGCGGCGGCGGCGGCTGCGGGGCGGCGCTGAGGAGGCCCCGAGGCGGGCCGAGGATCGGCGGGGCCGGGCGGGCGGGGGCCCATGTGCGGCGGCGGAGGCCCCCCCCCGCCCCGCAGTACCGGCGGCGGCCCGTTAGCAGGCAGGCGCCGCTAGGAGCGGCTCGGCGGCAGGATGAAGTTCGCCGAGCACCTCGCGGCGCACATCACCCCCGAATGGCGGAAGCAGTACATCCAGTACGAGGTGAGCCCGGCGACCTTCCCGGGGCTGGCGGCGGAGCCGTGCCCTGCGGGGCGGAGCGGAGCGGAGCGCTGTCCCGCAGCTGCGGGCTGAGCCGCCGAGCCCGCGCTCCGCTCGGCGCTGAGGCCGGCTTCCCTCCCCGGGCCGCGGCTCTTGCGGTGCGCGCAGCTCGCATTGATCTCCTGACGTCTGAACCGCGGTACCGTTACTGTCTCCGTCTCGCTTTCTCCGCCTGGCTACTGAATAAAGGCGGGTTGGAGTACAAACTGTCTCGGAGTCCTTTCTGAGCGGTACAAAATAAGCCCTCCCAGCCCTGCTTTTCGCTCCTAAGTTGTCAAACTCTTTGTTGCTCAGCCCTGCTGCCCGCGCGTATCGCAGCACTCGTTATTCGGGACCCGGCGGTGGTGTGGGTGCAGACAGAGGCGTGCAGCCCTCCTTTGTGCCGGCAAACACCGCCTCGTTGCTCAGCCGAGGGGAAGGCACAGCACCGCTTTCAGTACTAGCATGCGGTTTTTCTTGCACCGTGCGTGGCTGCGGTCGTGTTGTTGCCGTGTCTTTTCAATTTGACAGCTCAGATCTTCTTAATGAAGGCGGGAATGCTGCACCTAACCCACACACTCGCGTGGGTCTTGTGGGCGAGCTGGGAAAAGATGAGCCCCGTTTCCAGGGATTACCACGACCAAGGCTGGGAGATGGGACAGGCACTGCCTCCAGCTCGTTCTGTGTCACAGAGCTCCCGTGCAGCCCTCATTTCCCATCCCGATGGTGTGGTTATTTCCTTGGCACAACACCTGCTGACCCCGGGTTGCAATGTGGCTGAGCCCAGGGAAGCTGAGCCCCCGCCGGTGAGCGGCCCTGCCCTGCTGTAGTGGCAGCAGGATGAGGGTGTGATCTGGTGACGTCAGGGAGAAGAATGAGACGTTGTGTTTTGAGGACCTAAAAACAACATTTTGCTGTCGGGTGGTCTTTCATCATTTACAGCCTGCAAAGTTATTGTCAGTAACGTGGCCTTCCCCTCCAGCAGTTACCTGTGCTGTGATCGTTGAGGGCGGGTGCGTGGTCTGGGGAAGAGCTTAGACAGGGAAAAGCCTGTTGGCTTTCATTAAATGGGGAAAAAGATGTACTTCAATACCTATAGCTTAGATTATCTTTCAGCAAGAGCGCAGCAGTGGCCATTGTTGTCCGTGTGCTTATTAAGAGCAAGCAATGGGCATGTGAAAAGGCAGACCGATGATGTATGCTGTTCTGTTTCATTCAGCTTTTGGCAAAGATGTTGGCCGTGTCTGAGTGAATGCAAGCACTGAGTTTTACAAACCCCTGATTGCCTCAGTCTGCCTCTAGAATGGGAAATCAGAAGGAAAAGATTGCACAAATGGTAGAACGGCTCGAGTTGGAAGGAGTGGAACGGCACAAAGCATGATGTTCCATGCTATGTTCTAACTGCTGGCTGGTCTGGGAGCCCAGCTTGCCATCACTCCTTGTGCTGTGAACTGCCCCTTTGCTTCCCATGGAGCAAAAATAAAATAGGAGAGCAAACAAAATCCTGTCTTTCCGTGTCAGCCAACAGCATTCTCTTTTTCAAGCAGACAAAACTGGACAAATTAAAGTGACTCACAGATGAATCTCAGAGGATGCTTTTTCCTACAAACATGCCTTTGTGGCTGAGTGAAGTTGTTGGCGTGTTTGTCCACTAATTGCAATGTGGATTTGCTGTTGTGTGTGTCTCTGAAGCTCCTGCAGAAGGAGGGGAGTGTGGCTCAGCCTGCTCTCATGTGCCAGTGTGATGGAGGCCTGGTTTTACACTTGGCAGATGGCAATTCTCTGCTGGTTTCTCTGTCCTGAATTTGTTTATCCGAGAGCAGAAAGCTCTTTATTGAACTCTTAAATTGGCATGCTGTCTTTTTTCTTTCATGTTTTCCCATCTATTTGACTTCCCTCCTCTCCAAAGGGGACCTTGGGCGCTGCCTGCTTCAGTCTTTGGACAGTGGCAGCATGTTGAGAAGTTCTAAAGTCTGGTTTCCCCCATGAAAAATGTACAGGTAGGCGCGGGTGATTGGCAGGATGAGAAAGGGGAAGGCGTTCTGCATTGGTGGCTTTTTCTTTTGACCACTTGATGCATGGCACAGGATCACGTGCTGCCAGCTGGTGAGTCATGGGAGGAAGGGGACAGAGCGGCCATGGTCAGCCAGAATGTAGGAATGGGTTGTGTCACTGGGATGGGGATCATGCAGCAGTGGCTTAGCTGGGAAAACAATTCTGCAAGTGACCTTTGTTGAGACCTCTGGAACGAGAGCTTTGGGAGATGCCTGAGCTGCCTGTTTGCTGGCCGCCTGTGACACCTTGCGATAAACAGACGTGTCCTTTAGACCTTCTGTTTGCTTAGCAGTGCATTACAACAGCGCTGAGCTGCTCCTTGCTGAGCTTGTGGTTTTCCCTGTGAGGGCATCAGGGTGGTGGTTGTTCAGGCTGTGCTGACCCAGGGCAGGAAGGGGCAGAGCGTGGAGTGTGGGGCTGTGGGATGTGTTGGGTGATGGGCAGCAGGCCTCGAGGACCCCAGTGACTCGTGTGCATTGGATTTCTGTAGGTTCACAAGGCAGCAGATGAGCTGTAATTCTCACAGCAGATGTGTGTGCAAAGCCTGCTCGCGTTCGTGCCCCTTTACTTCTAGTTCCCAGACTGGTTCAGGTTACTCCATCAGTCTCCAAACCCATCTCAGGTTGTTTGATGCTGTGTTACCCTTGAGATCCCCCCTTGGGAGAAGGCAATCACTCATGTTTCCTAATCTGGTCCGTCACCCTGTCTTCAGCTTTTAGAATATGTGTGTGTTCCTGTACTATTGTGTAACAGTGATAGATCCCTGAGGCTTCTTTATCTCTGTTTGCCTTGACAAGCTCCTTTCTATGTCACGCCACAGGTTTTCTAACAAACCTCGAGCATCCTACCGACCTGGAAACCTTTTTCTGAAAGAATATGTTTTAAAATATGGTTGGAATAACAATAGCAGATTAGTAATATAACAAGCTTTAGATGAAGGGGTCAATAAATGAGAACATGTGTTTCTTTTGCTAGCAGAAATATGTGTAATAGCATTACCAACACGTCCCGTAGCTTTGTGTGTCAGTCTGGAGGGATAAAAGGACTTTAATTGCTTTTGTTTTCAAACAAGCATATCAAAACGTAATTTTTATTTGATTCTGAGTGCATTCTTTGTTCTGCTCCTCCAGGCTTTGAAAGAGATGCTGTATGCAGCCGTGGACCAGGCCCCTTCTATAGAAGGTAAGCACGTGGTCACTGAGAATTGTGTTTTTCTTGGCATTGGATGCTGGATGTGCAGTAGTGTTATTTTTCTGTCCTCAGTCCTCCTAAATTGGTCAAGTCAATACACTGATGGGCGAACGCTCGGCCTCCCGCAGCCTGCGTGCTATTTGGGATTGTTGGAACTCTTTGTCCTCTGTCATCAGCACAGTAAATGGCTTTGTATAGCTTGAGACTTCAGCAGCTGGATTCCTCTCGCTTATAAGGACATTCACTGGTGGAAGTACTACTTCATCACTGGAGAATAGCCTCTTGTTTTCCCATGGCAGCCCTGGGAGATAGCTGTGCTGGAGAGTCACCGGTTGGTGAGCAGGGATGTGAGGTTCTCATCCTTTTGTCCTGGGTGCTCCCTGAGTGCTGTGCCACCTCTTGGATGCTGATATGAGTATATTTTCTTGTTTTCGTTTGTTTATTGCCACTGCATTCTCTAGGTAGGTTGTTTTAGCACAGCATCTGCTTTTAAGCTCGCTGCATTTTGAGTAGTCTTATGTGTTGTGTGCAAAAGTTCTCAATAGAACCCTATATCTTTCTCCCTCCTTTAGTTTGAGGAACTGAATATTTTTGCCTTGATCTTTCTTTGGTCCCTTTCTGTGGATTTCAAACTCTGTGCTTCTAGCAGTTTGATTGCAGAGCAGTGTTAGTGTCACTGATCTCTCTGAGTGCAGCTCTTAGATTCTTCCTTGTGTGTGTGCAGAGCAGAACTGCTGCTTCTAGTGCAGTCTGTTGGCTGGTGTCAGTAATGCCAGCCATCATTAATGCTAGTTCATTAACAACTCACACACTCTTCTCCAAACAGTGGGTCCTAGAAGTGCATTTCTATAGGTGAGTGGCTATGCTCCTGGCAGCGCCTAAAATTGATGGGCTGCTTTTGGGGAATGGAATCAAGCTTGGAAGCAAGATGCTGGCAAAAGAGGCAAGTCCTGCTTTTTAAAGATGCAAAAATTGCTTTAAAACCCCCACAGGCCTGGAGGATCTTTCTCCCAGACAACAGTTTTCTCTCCCAAGAAGCAGTTTTCTGTCTTAGAGGAACCACAGTGTTTTGTATAGGCTGCACAGATGATCTTTATTAACTTGTCTTTAGAGATAATTGGCCGGTTTTGTTGAGAAAATGTGTTTCCTTTGTCTTACCACCAGTGTGTGACTTAAGGTTTGTCTTAAAATGGATGGGGCTGCAGATCCTTTGCGTTTTAGTTCCTCAGTATTGTTTTGGGAAGGTGTAAGGAAGGCACCATGAGAAGCTGGACGGAAAGCTCCTGAGTGGTATTCTGCATTTTGACTTCTTTTTTTTTTCCTATGCTCATTGTGATATAGTGATGTTCTGTATGTGCTGTAATGTTTACATGTAAACATCCTTAGGACAGGAAGGGAAAGTGAAGAATAAAATGTTATAATATAATATTAATGTTGTTCTTTTGAATGTTAAAAGAACGTAAGCTTCTGTTTCTGCCTTCTTTGATGCTCATCAAAAAGGGAAGTAATGACTTAATGTTGTGCTAGCTACAAAAAGCATCTTGTTATTTGGAGAGCAAATCTCTCCCTCTGTGTTGCAGAGAACAAAGCGACGCAAACTTTTTGGAACTGCTCAGATTTGTCACTGTTTTGCCCAAACTGCCTCTAAGAAGAGAGCAGCTGTGCTAATTCCTGCACTGTTTGCTAGTTCAGTGCTATGTGAGCGTGTGCTGGTTTCTTTTTTAATTGAAGTTTGTTTCCAGTGTGTTATTTCACTCCTGTTTTGTTTTTGTTTTTTTTTAGTTTCCTCTGCTGTTAATCTGTTTTGCTCATTCCCAGCTCTCTGAAATGCCTGTGTGGCTTTGAACTTAGCACAGGAACACCAGGAGGGTGCTGTAAGCCCCATCTTCCCAGGGTGAGGCTGGTATAAGTCTCATTTTAGGCTGGTTTAACTAAAAACCATTTGATGTAGGTGATGCCAGGCGCTGTAGCCGTGTTCAGCTGGGCTTTGATTTGCCTTACATGTAGACTGGAGCTAATCTTCAGCTAGTAGTTGGGCTGTAAAATAAAGGGAGGTCTGTCTCTGTTGGCTGTCTCTGGGCTCGTGTTAAGGAATCTCCTGCTTATGGTTGGCACGTGGGTAAACAAAGCTGGCTTCAAAATGACTCATAAGCTGTGCAAATGGTGCTGCTGCTGCTATTTTAGGGAGAAAAGTTTGCTGAGAGGATGATCTTGCATGTAAGTTGTGGGGTCACCTACCAGCACGTTTACCTGCTCTACTGGTGATCATAGAATCCTTAGGGCTGGAAGGGTCCTCCGAGGGCCATCCAGTGCAACTCCCCTGCAGTGAGCACTGCACTGACCAGATGTGCTGGCATCTCCCTGAGCTCCTCAGGGTTCACCTCTTTGCAGCCATAGCGGAGATGGAAGTCTGGCTGTGAATTATTCATCCTGATTATGCGCTCCAATGGACAGGGTCTACTCTGAACATTATTGCCTAGAATATTTGTCTTTCAGATATTGAAATTTAACCTCCCTTTAAGACTTGTGTAAACAGATCTTGTTGTTGTCACATTAAATGGCTCAAAAGCGTTCTGCAGTATCCTATTCTGATGACTTATTCCACTTAACCCCCATCTGCATTCCAGTGGTAGGCTGGAACAAGGATTAGACCGAGTGGGGAGTAGGAATGCTTCAAGATTGAACTCAAAACCAAAATTAATAGGTGACTTTCATTACAGCTTGATTGACAGGGGAAAAGCTTAGCAGCAGTGCTGGTGCTTGTGCTGTGCAAATTCACCTCTTTGCTTGCTCCAGATGAGAACAGAGGTGTGAGATTGGAACGTTTTCAGCATGCCCTGCTCGGTGATACAAATTTACTTCAAAGCAGGCTGGCAGTGCCAGAGCACAGAGCACTCCGGCTGTGGTGCAGGAGCACATGCAGATCTGCCTTGGCTGAACTGGTGCGCTCAGGTTCTTGCCCCCAGGTACTTGTTTCCACAGCTGGGAAACAATGAAACTAATGAAAGGGCTGTGCACAGCTTGGGAGGCAGCAGGAAGGCTGGGTTGGGCACTGCACACCAGCTCCGAGGGCTGCACCTGCAGGCAGGTTTCTTTTGCAAACTGCTTATCAGGCTGGCAGCACAAGGGCTGTAGATCCCTCCTTAATGGTGTGGGGTGACAGCAACATCAGAAATGCTTTTTTTCCCTGCCTTCCTGCTCTTGCTTTCTGACAATATAAAAAGGCCAGTGTGTCAATTTAACTGGTAGGTAGTAGGTTTCATGTTGGTGGTTAAAACGTGAGGGCTGGGAAATAGAAAAGGAGTTCACAAAGCTGGAAGATGGACAGCCAGCCAGCCGTGCTCGCAGTGCAGCAGAACATCAAACAGTGCTTTGGGTGTAACCTAGAGAAACACCATGTGTGTGTGTATAGGAGGTCAGAATTTATTGTTAGGCTTTGGAAAAGGCTGCAGCAGGAGGAGTAACAGCAAGATTTACAGTGTGTGTAGGAGGCAGCCTCGGGGTTTGTAGCCACTGCATTCAAAATAGGCGATTAGGCTTTGGGATGAGGCTGTGGCTATTTGGTGAATAATGCCGTGTGAATTAAACTCGATGAGTTTCTGCCTCTTTAAAAATGCATGCTGTGAGCAGGCTCTCCCTAGAAGGAAATCTCATTCTTCTGCATCACAATCACTTGTAAGATGCTTCAGAACGATGGTCAGGGCCTGCCGGGAGCTTCAGCATCTCTGTGATGCCATGTAGGAGAGCAGGGGCTGCCAGCACAGCTCCTCTGCTTTGTTACCTGGGCTGAAGAATGCCTGGAGGTCCGTAGCTGTAAGGCAGCAGTGAGCCAGAGCTGTGTACGTTCAGCCAAAAGCTGCAGAGAACACTGAGAATGCACCAATCTGCTGGCATGCATGGTGGGTGCTGTGTGAGGAGCAGCACAGCCCATCCTGCAGCTCCAGCCCCGGGCTGTGCGCTGCCCTTGCTGCAGAGGAGAGAGCCTTGTTTATCTCCTAGGAGATGGAAAAGCAATTTCTACTTCCTGATGAGAAGCTGACAGGCTATTTGACTTAACAGGAGAGGCAGCCGGTGTGATTGGGAAGAGGAAAATTGCATGCCATAACATAGCGATAGAAATGCAATTTATTTTGCATGTGCTATATAGCTTCAGGCATGCATTTTGGAGGGGTGAGAATTCTACACGCGCTGAAATGCCAGTTTTAATAGCAACAAGAGGTGAATTTGGTTTCCAGACTGTGTCTGTAATCTTGGTCTTATTGCTCCCACTGTTGATTAGCGTGCTTCTATAAACACTGCCAATGTGATTAGTGTGCCTTTATAAACATTCCCAAGGTGTGTGTGGGGTGAGGGAACCTGGAGCTCTCTGGCAAGCCGAGTGAATGAGCTGTGACCTCAGGACCTGCCTTTTCCCATGGCTGCAGGCGTGCCCTGATGTGTGGCCAGGATGGCTGTCCTGGTGCCACCGCTGCCCATCTGTGTCCCCATGCAGAGCCCAGGTGTGCTTCTGAATGGCTGCTTTCTGTGAGCACAGCTGTAAGCAGTGACTCACCGGCAAGGCAGCTGAGTGGGGTAATAATGAGCAGGATTGGCTGATACACCTATAAAGCAAATTCTGTAAGTAGCTGAAAGGGATGGGGCCAGTACTGTTTTGGCATGACTTTGTCTTCCATCATCAGTGGTAGCAGTGAAAAGGCAAGGAAGTTACCAATCTGAGAGCCCCATATGGCATTCTGCCTTTCTTGGAGCCTTTCTGCGTGCCGGATGTTCCTTGAACTCCATGGCAATCCAAGACAAAGGTTTTATTTCCCCCCACCCAGTCACAGGGTAATGCATTTCTCTGTTAGCAGCTGGGTCAGGGCTTCGTTCTGCACTGACCTTGATGAGCACAGGTGCAGGGAAATGTTTCTTGGAGGCTATGTGTCCTTTTAAAGCCTTTAAGAGGCTGTAATTAATGGAGTTGCCTAGAGACAAGAAGACTTCCCGGGGAG